GGCCATGGCCACCCCTGGCCCCCCATCTAGCCCCGTCCCTCCTCTTTTTTTTTTTTTTTTTTGAAGTGGTGTTCTTTTTATTATCTGTAACACTTTGCTTACCTGTAGTAAAAAGTGGGAAGCGTGGGAACATGATACAGTGTTACTGACTTACTGGCTTTTATTTTGGAGAAATTTGAATCACTTCTCAGAATGGTGGGAGAGCACCAGATAGTTAGAAAGGAGGATGAAATAACATTGAAGCTATTTAAACCCACAAAAATGATATGTTAGAGGGTTTTATAAGCCACTGCCTTTTAGTTTGTTTATCTCACATAAACAGCTTAGAGTGTAATTATTTTTATTGATGCCTTAAAACTGATAAACCCGAACTATCCTTTCAGTATTATATTGATTATTAATTATTAATTTAATATTATCCATGCATTTTCTATACAGGCCTATAGGGCTGGTTATACTCCTGCAGCAGTATGTCGCTTTGAGCTTGTCACAGATATTTTTGATTTATGTCAATATTAAAGGGTGGTCTGTGCTATGTTATTCCACGCCACATCGGATGAGGGACAATCAGGAACTAGCTGTGGGTCTAGATACGGCCGAGGTGGTGAGGAAGTGGGGGCAAGTTTGTGCGACAACTGAGGGACATGAGGGTGAAAAAGAGCGGGTATCCAGCGTTGCCGCACATCTTCACGAATCATTTTCCACAATGGTGGTCATATAAAACAGATCAAGTCGGTAGGGTACCAAACAGGAAATACACATAGTGTAGAGAGGATTTAGATTTGACCAATCAGAGGCCTCCTGCCTGCGGCACCGTCTGCGGTCACCTACAATTTTAAAGAGGTGCATCAGAGTGTCTGCAGAGGGGGCAGGGACACATTTGCATTCACTGCGACACACGCAGACGACCTGGTTTCAGAGTATAAATCAGGCTTATCCATGTAGTATAGCTGTTGCTAGATGTCTTAGAGCAAGAACAGTGGTTTAACCAATAGGTCACAGACCTAGAGAGACACAGACCAGAAAACTATGTACAAACACTTATAGCCAAGGATCATTTAGAGAAGACAGTTAACCTAACTGTCATGTCTTGGACTGTGGAAGGATGATGGAGTATCTGGAAAAAACCCTGACATGCATAGGGACAACATGCCGACTCCAGGCTGAGAGTCAAACCTCAGGTTTTCTTGTAACAATAGCGGTGTGATGCTATTGTTATTGTTTGTTTTTATTACAATTATTAGTATTACAATTTATGCTTTTGACACAGGTTAGATGTTTTCCTTATTATTTATTCATTCTTATTAAATAACAGCCAGCCCAATAGCAAATTGTACAAGGATCATAGTATGGGGGACCTAAAAATATTACCACATTGTGTTTAGTTATGTGGTAATGCTTCTATGTTTTCTAAATGTGTTTGATGTATAGAAAACATTTTATTTCAATTAAGACATATTCAGCTATCATATTCAGCTATCATTTAGTGTTTTCCTGGGTTAAGTAGCAGTTTCTCTTAACTTCTCTTAAGTTAATGTTCTCCTCTGTTACTGCTATTTATTAGATCGCAAATATTACAGTTATGTCAATCCTGCTGTTTGTGATCCGTGACGTAAGCACAATTAAAGCTGGGGGCTGATTAGGAAGACAGTTCAGATGGTTTCTGGATCTGTGAGGATGTTAGTAATATTTTCTTTGCCCTGGTTTAATGGCTATTTAAAGTAGAGATAAATGTTTTGTGTCAGAAAGTAACTTTACATCAGAGATCACAAAAATTACATGTGGTGTTCCCCATGGGTCCATCTTTGGGCCCCTCCTTTTCAATATATATATATATGCTCCCCTTTGCTTAGATTATAATAGGCAATAACATACTTGTCCATAGCTATGCAGATGACACACAGCATTACATTAAAATGTCACTAGGTGGCTATGAACCAATTCAAGCACTGGATAAATGATTTTTGGAGATTGTTAAACCTAGGTGCACAGCTTCAGTTAATACAGATAAAAAAAACATTGATCAGGCTTGAAATCTAGCTATAGAGATGGACTAAGGATAGAATCTCTAGAAGTTCATACAGATGGTAACAAAATTTGGTCTTCTATCAACTGAAGAATATCTCCAGGATCAAAGAAACAACTTTTCAGCAGGATCATGAGAAGCTAATTCACGTGCCTATCTTACTGCAATGGGCTCTTGACAGGTCGACCTAAAAATTATATCAGACTGATGGTGTTGTTCCAGAATGCTGCTGCTGCCTGCTTCCTCACCAAAACTGAAAAAATGGAGCACTTCATCCCTGTTCTAAAGTCATTACACTGGACCCCAATGTCTCGGAGGATACACTTTCAAATACTTCTGTTCGTCTACAAATCACTGATGGGTTACCTTCAAAATACATTTGTTGTGAGTCAATTAACCTCAGAGACCTCTCAGAACTTCTGGTTCAAGTCTCCTCTGCACACACAGAACCAGAACCAAACATTGAGAAGCAACTTTTAATTTTTATGCTTTAATAATCTACAATAAAATTCCAGAAAACGGTAAAGGTGCTGAAACCCTACGTGGCTTTAAATCAAAAATAAAAACCTATTTGTTTAGAGTGGCATTTGACTGCTCTATTTAAAGCTTATTAATAAGAGTTTGTAATCAACTTTCTCTCATTTTATTGTCAATCAATTTATTATCTAGTACTATTTTATCCCTTAAATTACGTGATTTTATTCACT